ATATGTCTCTTGAGTACAATCAGTATAGCAACAGTCTATTTTACTAACTTCTCTGATACTCAGAGAATAACTGAACAATAGTGTAGAATGTTTGTGCACCTCCTATTAAAAAACAAAAAGTGTTAGTTACTGATTTTTATTAGCATAAGAATAGCTTTCAAGAATTTTGAGGCAAGTAAAAAAAAACCACCAAACCAAACTCTGAAGCTGCTAAATGTAGGTACCACCTTGGGATATGCCCACGTTCTGATCTGACAAATCTATTTTATTGTAATTACTCAGCTACAACATGTAAAAGAACATTATTTATATACACATAATTTCGTGTTCCCATGCCAATGTCTGACCTTCACTGTGGACGATCTGACTCAACACCAATTGGCTTGACAATACTTTGTAGAAATACCAAAAATCAAATCCGAAAAAGGGACAAAACCTTCATCTGGATTATTTTTCCGCATGCTGAAGGTAATTCATCTGCTTACCTATATTTATTTTTATATAGGCCTTTTAAATAAGGTTTCTGCCTGTGTGTTTATAAAACGTGGGTTTGTATCTTGTTTTGCATTCATCCACTTATCCAAAAAGTTTTTAAAAATTCAGCACAAAGGACTTCAAACTGTCATTAGGGTCTGTCAACCGAGAATTTATGGTTTATCTCAGCCCAAGCAGTTGTATGCACAAATAGTTCCTCCTCCTGCCTGGAGTGCTATTGGATACATTGCTTTTCATATTCCACCTTAGCCAGTAAGTCTGTAGGGAACAAAGAACAAATATATTACCTATCACAGGTGACAGGGATGCTAAGCAGCTAGCCTCCGATTAGGTTATTGGCTAAAGGAACGGAATAAAGAGCAGATGCAGCTATGCAGAGGCTGCCAGTATTTAGGGACCCATCTTCTTTGCATTGTTTGCACAGATTTTATGTTGTACTAGGAATTACAGTGCCTGGTACATGCTCTACCTAGTATTCTCAACTGGAATCTCCAGCAGTTACAAAATAAAATCACCGATCTACAAAAGGGCTGAGGTTTCTGCATATTTAACTCGTCCACCCTTTAGCAGCCACGGCTTGTGTACACTGGACACTTCTGTAATCCTGCACACAGGAACCACATAAAGGCTTCAAAGTCTGTGCCGCAAGTAAAACAGACAAACGCAAATTCCTTGTTTTTAACGGAATTATTCAGTTTATTAAAAATTTTGGATTTCCCCCCCCACCCCACACCACCGTCACTGACAACACGAAGTGTGGAGCACGCTATGGTGACAAGAACTCAAAATCACAAGTTTTTCACAAATTAGTTCGTTTGCTCCTAGATGAGAACACAACCTTGCTTTCCATGAAACACTGAAATACTTCCCCCTCTAAAAAGGGCTGTCCTTCGTCTCTGCCAAATAACGTAACGACGACTTGCAAAACTGACAAGTAGTGGAAACGTTAATTTCTAAATGAGAACAAGTTTGTAAGAACAGGCAGAAAACAAATTGGGTTGAATGTGGCACTGCCTTGTAATGATTCAGCACAAAGCTTCTCAAATCAAAAGTTAAAAATTCTCTCGCTCCAATTACAGATAGCCTCTGGAAATTATCTTAGCAGAATAAAGAGCAAACAATGACAGAAAACTCCTTATACTCCTCTAAGTAGTAGAAGTTGAATTTGTTAGATTTGCCCTCATTTAAGTACATAATACATTGGAAATGTATTAATTTACAGTCTCCAAACTGGCACAAAACCTACTCATTTCCACTTTAAAATGCAGATCATGGAGAAAAGTAACCATGATATTTCCCAGAACAGTATCCACCCAGAATTAATTTAATACTGCAATTTTACAAGAACAAACAGATGTCAGAAACCTGTGACACAGATTAATTTGCAATTTAGACCAACATGTTATCATTAACTTTCCAAGCTGACAACTCCCCTGCCCAGCTCACACACACACAAAAAAAAAAAGCATCAATGCAATATCCAGAATTTTAAGTTCAGTTTAATTTTTTATTTCATTTCTGAAGATTCCCTGTAGGCTCATAATCCCACATCAACATAACTGAATGGAACTTCGATTTTTTTTTTAACTGAGAAATTAAATCTTAATTTGTAAACAGTTGAAGATGTAGATAAAGCATGTTAAAAAATAAGCATTTTCAAGCACCATCCAAAATCCAACTAGTGAATTAATACACAAGAAATTATGGAAGCAAACGTGAGCACTACAGCTAAAGGCTCCTCTCAAAATTTTCTGTCAGATTGTTTCCCCATTACACACCAGAAATTCTTTGAAATAGCAATTCATCCAAATATGATTTAGTATTAAACCTGCATTCTAAACAGCAAAAAAAGATGACAGAGAACTGAAGCAATAGCAGTTCAGGAAAGCACAGCTGAGAGCTCACTAGATTTTGCATTTAATCTGTTGCAAAATGTTTATGACAGTTTTGAAAGGGTGGTGGTTTTGGTGTGGTAGTTTTGGGCTTTTTTGAGACTTGGAAAAAATACCTATTCCTTAAAATTCAAAGTACTAATAATAACAACAAACTAAACCACCAACCCTGGAGAGACAGTTGCACCCAACTGTGGCAAGCAGTCAAGCATTCCTTGAATTTTAAATAATTCCTTTAATAATTGATGTAGTCATTTTGAATCTTTCTGCATAGGATATACCGTGTGAGTAGATTGCATTAACACTGCTTAAACATTTCAACTTGTCAGTATGGCCAAGTCGATTTCTGAAATATTTGCAGTATTTTCCCCATCGAAACAGTAATAAAGGTAGAATAAATATATGCCACTGCTTTATAATCACTGAACATTAATGAATATTTTATGTCTTTTTAAATCTCCCTGTTTAATTTAAAAGGGTGAAATTAAGTCTCCTCCCTGCAATATGCCAATTATCTGTAAATCAAACAATAACTTGGCCATTATACTCCTTTTTGTTAATATACCAGAAGCTAATTTGAAAACACTGAACGGCATTTTTAGGTAATAATTGAATAGTCCTCCCTGCCCTCTTGTGGCAGGCAACCGCAGCTCACAGCGCTTTTCCACCACCACAAAAATATGCCAGAAGGAAAGTAAACTATTAATTTGTTAAAGTGTGAACAAGAGAGTGAAGAGGGTTAAAAAAACCAATAAAATCTAACAGTCCCGGAGCGGAGAGAGACAAGGGAGAGAAAAGAAGGAAAGATACCACTGATTCCTCGAAATCGCACAGACTAACTAGATTCGTCGATCACTTGTTACAATGCTCACTCTATGCTAAAAGAAAAAAAAAAATTTTAAAAAGCCACTGGGGAGTTGCTGTGCTTGTTTTCCATAATTAGACAAATGTTCGCGAACCCTTTTACCTCAGCCAAATCCCCAGTGATTTCCATGAGACTTTGCACAGGCACACGTATTCGTTCACCTGTTCAGCATCAGCTGCACAAGAAGGTCGGGAGTTCTCTTTTCATTTTAGCCTCCAAAGTGGTCTTTGTAATTTTACACACTCCATTGGATGTAATATTTAGATACAACACAGAAAGGTTTGATGCTTATGCTGGTTATGGGATAGTAGGGCTTTTTTGGATTTGGGATGTTTAATGGGGAAAATCCTAACTGACTGTACACTGACTGTACCTGCCCTTACCAACAAACAAGACAACCTCAGTGCGTGTAAAGGCAGCCTAGATTCACATGCACTTTCACACCTTTCTGGTTCCGTTAAGCTGTGTAAGACCCACCAGCAAAGTAGTAATTGACAGAGCACAGACACAAAACAGACAGTATGTATGTATGTGTTTTCTTTTAGAGCCTCACCATTTTAAAAACAAATATTCCCATCATTTCTTTCCATAAATATTCAAATTACTTTTAATTGTAAAGAGTCAAAGCTTGGCCCTTCAAAAAACAACCTGATGCAAGTATGTTTGTTTGTTTATAGCATTTAAAAAAAAAAAAAGGCAAATCAGAACTTAGTATACTGGGTTTAAAAAGGTAAAGTAGCAAACAGGCTTTCACACAGGGGAAGGATCAGAATTTAGGTTATAAGAATAATAGGATTCACTATGAAAACAGTTAACAGTCAATTTTTCATTGCTGTACGAGACATTGCTCCTATAGCTAACATTACAGAACATAAAATAATTCTGTCTACAATGTCAGCATGTGACATGAAAAACTTCAATAAAATCTGCTCAACCCTAAAATACTGAAAGAAGTGTCAGACCAATAGCAAACATAGATTTAATTTGTAAAGCAAACATTTAATCTTAATATTTTGTAATGTGAATTCTGAAGATTCACATTTCCAGATTGTTTGTCATGTTTCCAGAAGTTAGTGAGTTATATGGAAAATAACATCCAAAACATCTGGCATTAGGCATATCACAGAACACTAGACAACCACCTTTGGCTTCGGAAAGGAGTTTTTAAAATACGCCTGTTCTAAATTCAGATAGTTCAGAGTCGTATTAGAGATACTTGTTCCTTCAGGACTTAATTCTGACAAAGTTCTCTACAATATCACCCCTTGCTGGCCGTTCCACAGAACGGCAGTGATGTCCACTGCACACAAAACCATTTGGGACCAAGCCAGTGAGAATTACAGCACTGTGATAGCAACCAGTAATGGTAGAGGTGCCTACAAAATGGAGATGGAGCTGGTTAAAGGAAAGGAAGACAGAAGGAGCCTCAAGGAGCTTAAAGGTAAAGTGTGATTTGGCCAACTGCCTTTCCTCATCACTCCAGAATAACTCAATAAACACTGTTCATACATTTTGCTACTACAATACAAAAAGAAATACCTTTTCTGTGTAATTTAATGTTTTTTAAAATATTTTTAGGCCAAGTTCTTTAATCAAGTTACAGCAATCTTGATGATCCAGTTGATTAAACCAAAAAAAGACTAATAAAATATAGGAATATCCATCAAGACCATGTAAACTCTCTTTAACAGAGCTGGCATTAGCTATAATGAGCTACATTTATTCTTCAGCTGTGAAACAGCACTCACCTCCTGAATGGTACTGCTTCCTGAGAAGTTGAGGTTGTACTCCCGCTGGACTTCTCGATGGGTGACAATCAGCATGAAGTTTTGATTTAATGACTCCTGCAGGGCCCTGAAATGGTTGAAAGAAAAACAAGAAAATCAGGGATAAGCATGTTATAGCTTGTTTTACAGTTAGATGCAAAAACCCCAGGGTACCCTAAACTCTACATGGACAAGTCCAGGCACAACATTATCATCTCCCTTTTCACTCTTAAATGCAAGAAAGCATGCTGAGAATGACCAAGGGCCATTCCTGAACTCCTTCCTTAATAAGGTGATTGCAGCCTTGCAAGCTCTTCTGATGTTAAGTATTCTCAAAATCAAGAGTCACATTATCTTCACAAACATCAGGTATACTTAGCACTCAGAATGTCATTAATACCAGGCCTGTAAGCATATTGATGACCAGACAAAACATCAAGCTAGGATGCACATTAAAAACTGATGGTAAGTAGAACAAGACAAAGCATGCTCTCTCTTCTCTAGGGTTACCTGAGGCATAAACCAAACAGAAATTCTTCCGCTTAGTTTCATTTAAAGAACATAAACCCAGCTAATTAGAACTGGAAAACTAATGGCAGCAAAATTTCTCGTGTGGGTATTGAGCATTTGGAAAAGTTAGTTCTGTTCAAACTGTTTGAAATGTACATTAAAATACCTTTAATCATACAAATTTTAAAAAATCTTAAGATACAGATGAAACTTGCAAACTATTATGATCACGTTGTCACAAACTCAGGCTTTTTTTGGTGATATTCCTAATAACAAAACATCTGGATGTTAACAAGTCATCCTGTTTGCTTAATCAGATACAAAATTAAGCAGCTATCTGCTTTTCAAAATAGAAGGCAGGAATTCTGTTACAGACTGGGCAATTACAGCCATATACAATCTTATATAGGCTACAAAACTGCAGCACCATCGAAACACAGCTTGGATTTCTGAACAGCATTTATGCAGACTTGACCTGTTCGGTGGCATATGGATTTGAATTGGGCTTATTTTTTTCTTTTTTTTCTTATCACATACTCTCAAAAGAATGACAGACTGGGTTTTTTTATTCCTTCACATCTTCACTGTTCCATGACACTTTTCCTCTTAGCAACAAAGGCCAAATTCTGTATGCAGATGAGCACAGCTGTATCTTAAGATACAAAAAGACAAGAAAGCTTGCTAAGATTATTTGAGTCCTGATTTGTTAGCTTTTTTCTTCTACTGGAATTGCTGAGCTGCAGTTTTGCTGCTCAGATGCTAAGGAACCCATGCAATACTCAATGGATGCTTTAGCAAGAGGTGCACAATTTGCTTAAGCATCTCAAGACAAATTACCTTACAAAAATATCTTCACTCATCAACTTAATTTGGATTCTGTGACATCTTAAAGATAATAATCACATACTACAAAACAAAATCATGAAGTGCTATTTCTCATCTTTTACGGTTTTGCAATATGGAAGATAAATTTAACTCACTGTTAATGTGAGGTATGATCAAGTGCATGAGAAACCCTACAAGTGTAACTGAGGTATGCGGAACGTCAAGATAGCAGCGCTTGTCACAAAATCTTGTAAGAAAAGGCTTAAAAAAATTTAGAACACTTAACAGTCCTCCAAAAGAGAAAGAAGAGTCCTGAAAAGTTGTATGCCTATTTTCAAAGGTAATTCTGATCTGATTGTTAATAGTAAATTCAGCATCATCATAACCATATTTTCTTTTGGCAAATGTTCAGTAGCAACTAAAACATCCTGCTGTGCTTGTTCAGATTCTGATTTTTTATTTGTTTTCAACAAATACTGGAGGCGAATAAAGATATTGAATTGCTTCGAAAACATTAATTACAGCATATGTGAATGGCTCTGGGTTCCATACAGAATCACACAGGGCTTTGTTACAGCTGTTTTTGACTCTGAAAAATCTGGAGATGCTAACCGATAACATTACTCATGTTTTCATTCTGTAATTGACCTAAACAGAATGAAACAGGCTAGTTGGACCAAACCCTCAGTCTCTCAAGGTATGCATGATACATACACGATGCACACTTCAGTTCTACCCGAAATCAGCACGCTTTTTATTTAAAGCATCTGTTCATAGGAAAGGCTTTCTGTTTCTCTCTTTTATCTGGATATGATAGCAGAGAGGACTTCGAAGAGGAAAAAAATACTCCCCAAACACAGTTAATTTAAATATAGTGTCTTAAAATTAAAAGCCTCGTTTTTGAGGTAACTAACAATTTTGACACCTCTACCTTTTGGATTTCTAAACAACGCAAGCTGTTTAGTAGAACAAGCAAATTCTCAGTACCTATGCATAGCCAAATACAGTCAAAAAGAGACTGAAAATTAAGCTGGCTATAAAAAAAATTCAAAACAAAAAATTGAGGAAAAAAATTGTTTTGAAAATGTTAGCAATTAAAGTGCATGGTTAATTATATTATTTTTCTGAAGAAAAGGTGAGTAGTAAGGCATAGTGCTTCTCCTTACACAGAAATGCAGTCGTCAACTGATCCAACCCTTTGAGCTCCTATGTCAAAGTCTCGTATGACCTGACAGCCATAAGGCCTGGACATTAGAAAGTCAGTGGGAGGAGGACCTGATGGCACAGCTGATGGGCAGTTTGTGCCAATGACTTCCTACGTCTACCAACGCTCCTCTGCACGACGGGGTTGATAGGAATATGCAGCCGGACAACCAGCAAAGTCAGTCCCCTCCCATATACCCTTCCTCCAGCAACTAGGGATGTAGATTACCCCAGGTTATTTGTGCCAACAGAACTCCACACTTCCACAACATACCTTGTCCTAAAATTGTATTTTCAGCCATTAAGGCTATGATCAACTGTATAAAATAAGTGTATTTAAAGGAGGCTTCCCATTGACAGTAAGATGAAGCTTACTTCTATGACATTTTAGGTGCATATCACTGTATTGAGAAGACCGACTTGGAACACAACACACATTTCTAACACTTTGGCTTCAATGTTTGCAGCAGTTTAATATTCCTGCAAATGTCATCAGTTGACTACAATCTTCCAAATGAAACATCTGTGTTAAAAGGAATTTTTTTTTTTTTTTTTTTTTTTAAATCAGGGCCAAAACCCAGGTCCCATTGAAGTCCAGACAGATTTTCTCTTTTTTTTTTTTTTTTCCTTGCCATCAGTGTTATCAGAATTGCTAGAATAGCTACTGCCAGCACTTTTTTTTTCCCCCTCAGCTGAATGATTATACAGTCACTACCCAGCTCAGGAGGCAAGGGAACTTGATGGTATTTTTGGGCATCGATCTTCCATTAGAGGAACTCTGCCTACACTCAAAAAAAGTCCAAGAACAGAGAGAAGAAAACAGACCTGAGCAGAGTCATCGTTACAACCAGTTCTAGCAAGACAGACTTGGACTAGTTGAGGATTTCATATGGATTGCCTACACAGCTTTGGTTATGGGCACTATCACAGTGCACAGAAACCTCAGTGGTGGACCAGGATTCAGCTGGCTTTGAAACTCTACAATACGCAAACAAAAAATGTTCATCTTTGAAACTCAGATTTCAAGCAATTAAAGTTGAAAGAAGGTTGGGGGGTTTTTTTCCCTAAACTCAAAATATCAAAACTCCATTAAGAGTCTGGAAAAAGTTTATTCACTAGCTACTCCATCCAAATTCCAATACAGTACAATTTATAAACCATAAGTTTAATAAATTAAAAATATAAACAATATTTAGCCAAAAAAAAAAATTGTAACTGCAAATACTGCTAACCTTAGGGAACAGCAACTGTTCAATCAGTCTATGCAATGCTGAAGCAAGACTGTATTAATATTGATATTTATTATATTTTAAGCTTCCAGTTTTACTGCTTTTCTATTGTTCTGTAACAATTAATACATAAAATAGATGGTTGCATCTATTGTTAAGCGACAGCCTTAGTGCTTTGATTTGTGATGTACTACTTCACTTTTTAACAGCATTTTCATTGAAATTTTAGCAATTTCTTCAGCTTAGAAACCAAAAGTACACCCTTAATCAATGATCAGCAAATGCTCCTATTAATTTCAGTTCTGTAAGATTTTAGGAAATACATTCAGTATTTCCTATTAGGCACTATCTTTCTCAGTCACATAGAGACTTCTCCCAAAATCTCAGAATTTTATATAAATAGGTATGACACAAGGTAATTAACATTTCTATTTTAAACTTACAGATTTATACAAGCTCATGTCAACAGAAGTCCAAATTTACTGTAATTACAGATTATTTACATTAAAACAAAATAAGAAATCAGTATGTAAATGTAATGTTTGTTGTAGCTAATGCAGCAGGAGGTGGTAGATTAGGTTCAAACAGCAATCAGTTAGCAAATCTGGCTAACATGTAAATGAGCAGAAGCCCTTTTGTTTACATTCTATTGCATTTTAAACTTCAGGATTTTTAAACTGTCTCATGAGCAGATGTGAAAAAAAAACATTAATCTTACCATTCTTATTGAAGCTTTCAAAGTAACTAAAGCAAGGCACTGCTCCTGTCCAGCTAAACAGACAATACTAATAATTGGAGTTGCAGGTTACATCGTTCTTAATTAACACTCTGCTACAGTTGATAACGTACAAGAAGACACTGTGCCACAATCACTGCTGCTCTGCAACAGTCTAAAACGCAGGCGTTCAGCAATATATGGACCCGTTATTGGAAAGATGAGGGGTTGTGGGTTTTTTTCCTATCCACACAGATGATTACATTTCTTAAATAAGTTACCACTGCTTAGCAAAAACACATTCTTTGTAATAATCTCCAAGGTATGCACCTAGTCAAATAGCTTTTAACTCTTTTGAACTTTCCAGTGATTCATTAGGTATAATAAAGTATCGAAGACTTTTGGCTATTTAGCAGAAAAGTATAAATACAAGATACAGTATATCCATTAAAATGACTACTGAATTAAAAATTGATAAAAAGGGTCTCCTAGAACATGCAAGATAGAGAGACAGTCTAGATGACCTAGCTCCATGGCCAGACTCTCATGTCTAGTCTTTTGATGCTACCCTCTTGTGTTCTCCTAAACCTTTTTTCCTGAACTGGGTATCACTGGCTTTCAAGAAGCACCCGAGGGAATGAAGGGAAGGAACTGCACTCTGAGGAAGCAAAGAATCTCATCTGTCAAAGCTAGTGCAAGGGATGTCTCCCCTTGGACAACTAAACGATGCACCGTGCCTTTTAAGGCCGCTTTCTAAAGGAAATCATGTTCTTCTCCACCCACCTACCCCATCCGGTAACTTCTGGAACATATTCATTAGTTTCAAGGAGGTCTGACAGTGTTATACAGGTCTTAAAAGACTGGGTGTAAATCAAGAGCTGGATAGAAGAAAGGGACCCAAATTACCACCCACCTCAGTAAAAGGCTGCATTACAAAGCGTAGTATTTTATCCTCCATCCAGCTGACCTCCGGACAATGATCTCAGAACTACCCACAGCATCTGACCTCGCCTTTCCTTTGATATTACCTGACTACCAGCTGGACAGAGGCAGGGCAGGCTGACTGTCTATGCAGGGGGAAAATAATTTATGTAAGTGCTACAAAACACATGGGGAGAACTGGAGGCAGTGTCAGAGGTAGGTGAGATCGTGGGAAGCATGGAGGGAGAGCGCTGAGTTACTGCAGCCACTGGGATGAGGCAGGAATTCACTAGAAATCAGGTTTCATTACATCCACAGCTCACAGAACAAGTTGTTATTGTTCTGGATATCGTGCATGGTTAAGTGTGGCTTTGCCAGCTGAAACTGTGGAAGCAGGGCACGTAACCCTACAGGTGGTATCTGACATTTCAATTTAATCTTTACACCTCAATTTACTAGCATGCAGGAGTAATTCCCCGGGTTTCTATTACCTATAAAAGCTTTAGATATGCCACTGATGAACAAAGATACCCTAGGAGATTTTTTTCCTTGTTTAAACTGCAGGATCACTTTGCCATTACATTCAGATGCTAGTTTTAAGTCAGTTCTGGGTTAAGCCCGTTCAGTCTGTCACAATGAACTTCAATACCTACGTACCAATATGTTGGAAAAGGATGTTTCAGACGCTGTTCTCCCTCAGTGTCAAGAACACAAGCACAAACTGGAGTTTATATAGCTGTGACCAGACTGCTCCTTTTAAGAAGGGCATATACATAAAATATCACATACTGAAGTCTCAGGCTTTTCAAATACCGCTTTCTGGAAATACTCAAATCACGACTATTTATCTCTAGTTCAAAATAGAAGGCATTTGAAGAAAACGACAGATGAACTCACACAGTAAGAGGCAAAGTTCCTTAACATCCATTAATAATAGATGTGAGCATGATGCTTTTAAAAATTGTGGGTAACAAACTAATCTGAATAATAACTGACCTAACAGTAGGCAGTAAACAGTGTAACTGGGTTTGGTACATTGCTTCAATTAGATGTGTTTTGATCTGCATTGATGCTTTAATTGGAGGCAAGCCTCCCCTTTCATCTAGAATTTATGACTTCAGGGAGATGATCTAGCCTTCAAATTTTCCTTGTTTAAGTAGCCACTAATTAATCATCGTTTGCTATGCCAAAGCTACCAACTTCATATGAAAAATATCCCAAACTCATCTCCACTGTGAAACAAGTATAAACTTTAAAGGTAACGACCACTGATTTTACTAGCAAGTAAAGTTTTTAAACTATTCATCCAATTAAAAAAAAGCTTAAGAACGGTTTTTAAACAGTTTGTTGTTATACAGTTTATTGGTGTTTATTGCAACTGTGTTCTTTAGACCCCAGAATTGAAGACATTTAAATTAACACACAGAGAGATACCTGGGTAGAAAATTTTGAAATTGGAAAGGGATTAAAAAAATCCCCAAACCAACCCAAACAATTAGTATCTAGAGTGGTTTTCCACAGTCCTTCAACCAGCTGCTGAAGCACAACGGGCTCTTGCCTGACACACCACTACAGCTCCCGCTCGCACGTACGGAGCACGTAGAGCTCACGTACAGCTCACCACCACCCTGCTTCCTCTGCCCACTGCCACTCTTCCCTCTCTTACTGCTCCTTCTCTGTATGACTACTAGTTTTATCACTCACATCAGCATCCTTATTTCCTCCGCAGACCACGCGGTTAAGCGCACCAGTCCTTTTCAGTAAAACACGAAGTACTTTTAGTCAGTGGGAAACCAGTGATTCCTCTCCACTGACTGTCGACGGGTTTCCTGCATCGGCCCCACGACGGCCTTCGTGGGAGGCTCTCACAGGGCTCCTGCGGCAGCACGACTCCCCCTCCCGCCAGCCCGCGGCAGCCCAAC